AAAAAAAAAAAAAAATTTTATAATTCCTACCACTGGATATCTAAAAATAGAATGATACAACATAAAAAACATTTGTTTTGCTATTTTTCTAGAAGAAGGATATATACCAAAGTATAAACACAAAAAGATTCCTCCACAGTAATTCATATGTAACACAAAATATCACAGTACAACTGTATCTTTACCTTACTAGCTTAACAAAACGTACCCGATTCTTTGGCAGTCGCCCCTTTTGCCTGTGATTCTTCAGGCACGTTTAGCTGAGTAAAACATTTTCTTTGCAGAGACTTTTCTATAGCTTCTATCTAAACAGTTGGAAACAAAAACTATTAGAACGTGGAAGATAACTTGAGATAAGTTTCTTCATTTTCTAAAATATTCCATATAACGGACATAGGACATTAATATTTTCCCCATAAATATTTTCAAAAGAAATTCTTACCTTATGTTTGGATAAAAGAGGACTGTAGAAAAAAAGAGAAAAAAATTTGTAAAAAGTACAGCACGCTTCCAAACAAATGTCACTGAAATGGCTATTAAAAAAATACAGCTTCTCTGGACTCTAATATTAGCACAGAACATTTCCATGGCTGAAACATTACCGCTTGCTTACATAGTTCAAAGTGTAGCTATATCATGTGTTAATCTCCTTAAAAGCCAATTACTATTGAAAACACCCAAAGAGGCTAAAAATACTGAAATCTAAAAGTAAAAAAAGTCAACCTTTGCTAATAAGCTATTTAAAGACTCTTCACACATGCATATTTTTAAAAATTTCAGTCTATGTGATAGTCTGAAGCAGATTATGTATGGCAGGAGATGATTTTGTTGAAATTATCCATCAAAACATCATCTGAAGAGTAATTTTTGAATATTACATTTTAGGAGATACTCAACAGGATGTACATATTCAACAAAGGCACGGGGAAGAATATGCACAACCACTTTATTATTTATAATATCCAAAATCCAGGAACAACACAAATGTCTATTAAAAATGGTGGACAAATACATTGCTGTATAATCAAACCATAAATCTGTATTGCAATAAAGCACAGCAAACTTTCATTACACACAACAGCATGTAACACATACACAAGAAGGTAAATGCACCAATCAACAGTGTATGTGAAATTACAGAACTAGAAAAGAGTATTTAGGCAACTCAAAGTGGTAACCACAGGGGGCCAATATGGGCTTGATATTGCAGGAGAAAGCCTTCCAGGAGGCTAGAAATTCTGTGTCATGGATCTTGCCAAAGTGATAGTCATGTAGAAAAATATGTATATGAAAAAATTCACCAAGCTTTTACACTTAAATTTATAACAAGCAAATATTTTTAAATATAAAATTATATGAAAAATAATTTGGTACAATATTCTAAAGATACTATTTTTATTTTATGTTCAGTAAATACTTATTAAATACTTAAAACAAAGGCATGAAAGGTATCTAAGAGAACTTTCATTAAGAGAGTTGAATGAACATCTACCTTGAGACCAAGAATTTTTCTTCTAAGGCCACCTCCAAAATAAAATCCCCAAGAAAATTATCTACCTTCTGCATGAGCTAAACAATTATTTCTGTCTTAATATTAACAAAGCTTTACAAAAAAAGCTTTACTTTTCATGCTTGTAACAAAAAAAGAAGAAAAGCTATCAAAGAACAGCCAGATTTTTAGCTTTTGTATGAAGGAATGATTGCCGAAAGCCCAGACATCTGTACTAGTTTAAATACTATCATAACCTCTCACATTAAGAACTTTGAATCTTCAAATGAATAATTTTTTGAAAAACTAAGTGTGATCAGGAAACAAAACAAAACAAAACAAAGTGTGAGGCTGGGAATGGTGGCACATGCCTGTAATACTCAGCCCTTGAGAGGCTAAGGCAGGAGGAATGCTGTGAGTTTGAAGCCATCCTGGGCTACATAGTAAGTTGAAGATCACTTTGAACTACATAGTGAGACCCTGTCTCAAAAACAAAACAAAACAAAAAACTAAGTGAGTTATTATCATTATAATTTTCTTTTAGAAATTATGTAAGTGAACTTCTTGATACAAGTGAAGCAATTAAAGTTTAAGTGGTAACTATGACTTTCCATATGAAGTATTCTGGTAAAATATGATACTACATTTACTTCCCAGAATTGGATTACTTTTTTAAATGGTATGTTTTTTATATAACATGAAAATATTGGCAAGCAGATAAAATAAAAAAGTCTTAATACATAGTTCATTTGAATCATTAATTTCTTAACCAAAATGATACTGAAATTGGAAGTTATATTTTAAAATCTGTAATGAGAAAGAGCTTTTGAATTTATGTAAAGCTGAACTTTTACCGAGTTCAGTGTAAGAACCAGGGAAAAGTTAAAAAATAACTCCACACTTGTATTATACTCATTTTAATTTCTCCAGCTGAAAACATTTAAAAAAAAAAGGGTCTTATATTTCAATACTCAACATAATCCAGTATTCTACTCCAAATCTCTGTAAATAAAAGCGGACATACTTACTCTTGATGTGTGGAGCAAATTTTTGCAAGCTGCTCAAAATCTTCACCATTAAATCCTTTTTCTGAATTCCTTAGAGGTGTAACTGTATGTGGCTGTACAGTTTTCCATTTTGCTTCTAAATTTAAAATATTTGTTAGTCACTGGCCTTTACAAAGCACATTTAGAAAGGAAAAAACAGTTAACTGGTGCCACTGATAAAAACTGATATGCAAAGTCATCTTTTCAAACAACACAATAGTTAACACAGAAATAGCTAGGAGCTTACTTTGCAGTAAATATCATTCCAGAGACTAAATTACCCAGTAGGGCACGCAGTGTGAACAGGAAAAACGCAAAATACATGCGAACACATTCATTTCTTGGAGCTGATAGGAAGAGCAAAATATAAAGAGAAAAGAATTTTCTCAGCAAAACAGGCCTGTAATAAAAATATTACATTCCTTGCAACTCATCCACCTCTACCCCTGTAATACTGGGAATCACACCCAGGGCTTCCTGTATGACAGATATGTAAGCGCTCTACCTTAATTATACACCCAGTCCCATACTTTGCCACATTAACTTTACTGCAAACTCCTATTTTTTTTTTTTTTAACAAAACTGGCTCAAATATTTAAAATTTCTAGGCAGCAAGTTGTTAGACTGGTGATAGTTCCATATTCTATGTTAGTTTGTACTCACCCCACTGTTCTTGAATGGCAGAAAGATTTGCCAGCAACTGTTCATGATACAATCGTTCAAGCTGAATAAATTTCATTGCTTTCTCATCTGAATAGATAATTTGAGGAAAACAGAAATGCAGACTACTGATAGTCAAGCTAAATATGAAAAGTAGTGTCATACAGAAAGAAGTTGAAAAACATTCATCTGATCAAAAAATGAGGTGACTCTATTTTTAACCTTAAATGTATTTATAGTAATATTTGTTTTGAAGTAGATAATACTTTATTGTGGCATGTTTTGCCTTAGGTACTTGGATTCTACATCATCAGGAAACAGAAATTAAGAAGTTGTAATGCTCAGAGAATACCTGTTTGCTAGAATATTTCTAGCAAACTCAACTAAAAGGTATTTAATTGGAAATAGGACCACAAAGAATCCTGGAGTTTATGTTTTCCTTTTTTAAAATTTTTCTCCTTAAATGACTTTCTGCTGAGCATCTCCATGATCCTTTACACAAGTGTCTGTCTCTGGTTTCAACCCACCCTGATCCTTATTGCTCACTGACTTTTTCCCACAAGACCAAAGGATCATCTACCTAAACAATGACAATGCAAAAATTACACAGATCTTTTGAAAAAAGTTAATTAGCTTGCCACAGTGATTTTCATAATTATGTGGCTCCAATTTGTTGTAGATCTTCCTATGAACTGTTTCCTCCCATCTGTATCACACATATGTGCACTTTAGGTGGTCAAGATACACTGTCCAGCCGACTACCTTTCTGTGGGCAATGTTCTAAATGTTGACCCAGAAAAAAATAGGAGAAAAACTCAACTTAGCTTTTTGTTCTTCCCACAAATACTCAGAGGTCAGCTTTCCCTCTCATCTGTGGTCTTAAAGACATCTCTGGGTTCATAAAATAGATCCAGGAAAAGTAGGAACAATTCTTTTCTCCTCTGCTTATGACTTAAAAATACCAGTGTTTCTCAGACTTTATAGAATATAAAAATTACATGAAAAACTTGTGAAAATACAGATTCATGGGTCTGACCTCCCCTCTCTAAGCTCTGATACTGAGGCTTGTGAACTTGCATTTCTAAGATACTGGTACTGATGGTCTAGCTGTACTTTATCAGATACTAATTATTTTGTTAAGAAAAAGAGACAGTTCCTTCTTCATTCTCACAAAAATTAGATTCCCATGCTTAGGAACAAACTGCCATCGTCTGAAGTTGTACCTTAATTCCCTTGACAGGGTTCAACACAGCAACTGTTTATCTTCCATCTGGACTGAAATGTGATGAAAACCAACAAGATTAGAAAGAAAAGTAAATTATATTAATGGGGGAAAACAGACTCCTGGAACACTCCATCTAGAGGGCACAGTGATACCTTGTCATTAACAGCACTTGTCATTAATTTGCTCTGGGATGCTCATAGAGCACCCAAACCATGACTACCAAAGAAACTGCTTTGGCTAAAGGGTAGCAAAGTCAGAAGGTGATGGACCATGACAAGTTCTAGCTTGGTGTCAAATACTAGGACAAAATTTTCAAGCCAAAATGGATCAAGTACTAAATTGTATGAGTTTCAAAGTAGTTAAGTATAAGAGTACATACTGGGTCATTTTCCTAAAATAAAAGCAATTCTTAAAAAAGGACAATTGAAAAAAGTGAGAAAAAAATACACCGTACATAAAAGTATGTTGCCTCACATGAAAACATTTATTGAATTGTTTATTACTAATGAAGAATTAATCATTCCCTTGTAGCTGTATAGAGTCACATGACACAGTCAAATGACACGTGGTCAAAGATCAAACACATAGGATATATAGCCCATGAGGTCATATCACATAAAGATGCAGCAGGTGTTTTAACATGAGATTTGTACAATGACAAAATCACCTAAAAATGTATGTATTCTTCCAAAAATATCCTTATTTTTAAATAGTACTTATATGTACCTAAAAGACAGTCATTAAATTTACTGTGTGGTATATGTGACATACTCTGGACTTATGTGCCTGTGTAATTTAAGAGAAAGATAATCCTATAGATTTATGTATTTAAATTTTCAGCAATATTTGCTTCCCTCCACTTTGAACACAAATATTTAGTCTTGGTAAAATTGGAGCTTATTTATGGAAGGTCAAATTTGGACAGTTCCAAAACTCTTGTGGAATAACAGATATTTCATGAACCTTGCTTTCTGATGTAGCTATATGAGTAAATACTACTATTGAAACTCAATGAAACCATACATTTTATTATATAGACTCATTTTAAACAACAGATTATTCTCTAACAGTTGGTGTGAATTCCATTTGGTACTTAAAAAAGGATACAGTCTTCTTCCTGGAAATACGATTCTGCTATCTGTTTTAAAAAAACAAACAAACAGAGAATATGAAATTACTATTTTGGTAAAAAAAAAAAGATTGTAAGAAATCAAGGTCTTAACTTTTTCTGATATGAAATGAAGAAAATTCTTATTTAAGTATACTCATCAGATCAGAAGAACTTTGTGGGTATAGAGCACAATTCTAAAGTCTTCCTCATTTCAAGCAAAGCAACCACAGGCACTCTTTGGAATTATACAACTGTACTCTTTCTATTGTAACTTCAAGTCATAGCAAATTTCTCTCATTCATAGAGTTTAGAAGCAAGAACAGTAAAGAATGAGAAAAATACTATAGAGCATTACAAAGGTGTAACATGAGTAGAGATTCTCTTTATTTTGAATCAAAAAGCAGAAATACGTCATGGCATTTATGACCTTTACATCCCCTTCATTTCATCCCTTGTTCACAAGCTACCAGCCAAATCCTTATAAGACACTAGCTTTTTGGTTGTGCTTGGTATTTTAAAAAATGATCAGGCCAAGTGTTAACAGTTGAATAATGATGTTTGGAATATGCAGAATGCTGCACATGATGAAGTACACCAGAGAGAGTCTAGAGACTCAGAATCTGGTCCCAGCAAAGGCTTGTCACATGAGATTCATTCTAACGTACCTTTATGTTTAAAAACTCTTTGAACTGGGCAAAGTTTCTGGCCTCAGCAACTGTAGTAATGGGATTGGAATTCAACAAAAGGAGAACTAAGAAAGCAACATATTTGGGACAAAAACCAAGTTAACATTTTGTACATCTTAAATTTGAAATGTCCTAGATAGTTATGGCTAGAGTCCAGGGGAAAAAATTAGGTGAAAGATAGCAGATGGGATGAAATCACTTACAAGGTTAGAGAAGAATGAGAAGAAATTCAAGAACTGATCCCTGAAATACTTCAAGGTTGACACAATTAGAGAAATATGAAAACTCAGCAGAAGTGCCTGAGAAAGCTCAGCCAGTGAAAAGGCAAGAGCCAAGAATTACAGTCCCAAAAAGTAAATCAAGAAGATATCAAGCAAGGGTTCGACCCACAGCGAAGGCCTGGCGTGTGAGTGAGATGACCCGGGGCTTGCTGGATCCTCATTAGACCCAGAGCGCAGGACCAGCATGTGAGTGAGACCACCTGGGGCCACCAGATCCTCATGCGACCCAGAGCCCAGGCCCGGCATGAAACCCTTCAGCAGAACTTCCTGCAAAGAGGCTAGAGGCAAGACCCACCCAGCTGATTCAGGAGCAGAACATCTTGCCAGAGTGGTACAGAGGGTTCACCTCCAAGGGCTGCAGCAGGAAGAAGTGGAGTACAGCAGCCAGACCCCAGCCACACCCACATGAAGGAGTCTGAACTTTGTAGACCCGGACCTGGTGCTAGGGTAATAACTCTATCTAAGCTCTACACCAAAAGTCAGAAGACAGGTATACAAAATGACAAAAGAGAAGGAACAAAATGCAGTCTCAGGACCTGAGTCCACCCGGAACAAATGCAGAAGACACTAGCATAGAAAAAATTGGAAATCACACACCTGAAATCTCTGAAATAATAGCATTGGAAGTAAAGAAACAACTGCAGAAAGGTATAGAGGAAATCAGATCAGAAATAATTTCTGAAGTAAAAAAAGAAATGATTAACTATAATGAAAGAAGTACTAAGTGCTTCTAAAGAATACACTGATAAAAAATAGAGCAGAATATAAAAATGATGGAATCCTTGAATAAGCAATTTAGGAAAGAAACAGAATGCATGATGCAGATTCAAAGTGATACACAGGAAATTAAAACCTCAATCACAAGCTGGCAAAACCATTTGAATGAAAGTGAAAATAGACTTTCTGACCTTAAAGACACCACTGCAGCTAGTGAAAAAGTAAGAAAAGATCTCTTAAAAACAACTAGAGGGGCTGGGGCTCAGTAGAGTAAGCGCTTGCCTGGCAAGCGCAAGGGCCTGAGTTCAATTCCCAGTTCCGCTCTCCCCCGCAAAAAAAAGATGAAACTTTGCCGGGGAGATAGCTCAGTAGAATAAGCACCTGCCTGGCAAGCTCAGGGCCCTGAGTTCAATCCCTGGCACTGCCCCAAAACTAAACAAAACAAAACTAGAATGCAGGAAAAAATAATTCAATACCTGCAAGATGATGCAAAGATGAACAATGTGAGACTAATAGGTATCCATGAGAAAGGAGTCAATACAAATGATATAAAAATATGGGAGAAGTAATAGCAGAAAACTTTCCAAATATGGGGAAACATCTGACATTCAGTAACTGAAGCATATAGAACTCCAAATAACATCAACCCAATTAAAAACACACCCATATGTATAATAATCAAGATCCCAGAAATTCAGCACAGGAACAGTATACTAAAAGCCGCTAAAAGAAAAGAAATAGATCACATTTAAAGGAAGGGGCTGGGGAGATAGCTTAGTAGAATAAGCGCTTGCCTGGCAAGCACAGGGTCCTGAGTTCAATCCCTGATACTGAAAAAAAAAAAAAAATTAAAGAAAAACCCATCAGAATAACAGCAGATTTCTCTTCACAAACCATCAAGTCAACTTCTGGTATGAGCCCAATAAAGACTGTTTCTGCCTAAAAAAAAAAAA